TTTATATTTATATATATATTATTTATATTATATATTATATATATATTTATATATATTTATAAATTTTTTTTTTTTTTTTTTTTTTTTTTTTTAAAACAAGTGGGCCCGTCTCCCACCGAGGCAGGGTGACCCAAAAAAGAAAGAAAATCCCAAAAAGAAAATATTTTCATCTTCATTCAACACTTTCACCACACTCGCACATTATCACTGTTTTTGCAGAGGTGCTCAGAATACAACAGTCTAGAAGCATACACATATAAAGATACACAACATATCCCTCCAAACTGCCAATATCCCAAACCCCTCCTTTAAAGTGCAGGCATTGTACTTCCCATTTCCAGGACTCAAGTCCGACTATATGAAAATAACCGGTTTCCCTGAATCCCTTCACTAAATATTACCCTGCTCACACTCCAACAGATCGTCAGGTCCCAAGTACCATTCGTCTCCATTCACTCCTATATAACACGCTCACGCACGCTTGCTGGAAGTCCAAGCCCCTTACCCACAAAACCTCCTTTACCCCCTCTCTCCAATAATGTTTTCTTAACCGAGTCCATCCTCCTTTACCCCAACAAATCAAATCTCTTACCTCCATTTCTGCTTGCCTCCTGACAAGTGTAATGTTAAAAACATCAAGTATTTGTTCACTCTCTTTAATATCTTTTATCTCCTTAGCAGAGAGCCTCTTGTTCTTCAACTTGGCTTTATATGCCGCCATATAATTTCGACAAGTAGTTCGATGTTCCTTTATGTGCTTCCAGGACCAATTCTTGTGAACACGGCGGATGTTCTCGAGTTTGCACTCATAGGCATATAGCCACCTAGTGAGGAAAAAAAACATAACTCTAAAAATGCTATACTTTAACCACTGACCTGGGTACAAAATACATATACTACTACACACATGGGAAACTCAGCAACAATACATATATTGTACTGCTATATTTGAAATAGTCACAACATACATAAAACACTGTAAAACACAAAACCTACCGTTCTGCCATGTGAGTAAAACAGAAACCTGTACAGTGGAACCTCAAATATCAAACTTTCTTCGTTCCAGACGGCTGTTTGAGTGCCGTTACCGAACGAATTTATTCCCATCAGAAATAATGTAAATTAGATTAGTTCATTTCAGACTCAAAAATACACTCATAAAAGCACTTACAAAAATACACTTACATAATTGGTCAAGTTGGGAGCAGTTCGATATTTCGGGTTCCACTGTAATTGTTTTACATGATGGTAGGATTGCTGGTGTCTTTTTTCCATCTCAAACATGCAAGATTTCAGGTATGTCTTGTTACTTCTACTTCCTCTTATGTCAAACTATACGTACACGTACAGCCTCTCCTCATTTAACGACAGAGTTCTGTTTCTAAGACTGCGTCGTTAAACGAATTCATCGTTAAGTGAGGAGCATACTATAATGGTAGTGAGTTTGTGTCAACCATTTTTGATATTGTTTTAATGTCACCTTTGCACCACGTACAGTGGACCTCCCTTTTCGTTGAGCTCTGTTTTTGCTCATTTACGATATCGCCAATTTTTTCCGTAAAATTATTGGCTTCATTAACGTTGCTGTTCTCCATTCTCATCAGCGTACAGTAAAAATATTGGCCCCATTTCTGTTGCTTTCCTCCGTTCTTGTTGGTGGTACGGTACATGTTCGAGTGCTGCGTGCACACACAAAGCCTTCCACACACGCATTCTGAGGCAGTGTCGCTTTGTTCCTCAGTCAGTGAACATTATCCTGCCAGGCCATAGGAAACACTGTAATAATTCATTGTTTTTTGCACTTGTTTATTCTGTGCGACTGCTAAATAAGCCACCATGGACCAAAGAAAGCTCCTAGTGCCAGCCCATTGATAAAAAAGGTAACAAACACGATAGAATTCAAGAAAAAACTCTTAGCAAAGTACCAAAGTGGAGGAAGAAGAGAGAGGGGAGAATGTGCCTTCTACAGCAATTCACTGATTTTACGATATGTACGATACTAAAACGGCAGAAGTCAATAAACCAGTCAGAGATAAAGTATAGGCATTAACAGTATTAGCAAATAAATTAAGCGATTAAGCGACAGAAAAACGACGGCACAAAACTGACTCCTCCATTGTTGTTTGAGGGATAAAGAGCACTGACAAACATATGCTGCCCTGCCTATCTTCCACCACCCTAAACCAATGCCAGCATCTCCAAGGTAGAGCAAGTTTAATTTTTTTTTTTTTAACAAGTCGGCAGTCTCCCACCAAGGCAGGGTGACCCAAAAACAGAAAATCCCCAAAAAGAAAATACTTTCATCATCATTCAACACTTTCACCTTACTCACACATAATCACTGTTTTTGCAGAGGTGCTCAGAACACAACAGTTTAGAAGCATATACCTATAAAGATACACGACATATCCCTCCAAACTGCTAATATCCCAACCCCCCCCTTTAGAGTGCAGGCATTGTACTTCCCATTTCCAGGACTCAAGTCCGGCTCTATAAAAATAACCGGTTTCCCTGAATTCCTTCACTAAATATTACCCTGCTCATACTCCAACAGATCGTCAGGTCCCAAATACCATTCGTCTCCATTCACTCCTATCAAACACACTCATGCATGCCTGCTGGAAGTCCAAGCCCCTTGCCCACAAAACCTCCCTTACCCCTTCCTTCCAACCGTTTTGAGGACGACCCCTACCCAGTCTTCCTTCTCCTACAGATTTAAACGCTCTCCACGTCATTCTACTTTGATCCATTCTCTCTAGATGACCAAACCACCTCAACCCCTCTTCAGCCCTCTTACTAATACTTTTATTAACTCCACACTTTCTCCTAATTTCCACACTCCGAATTTTCTGCATAATATTTACACCACACATTGCCCTTAGACAGGACATCTCCACTGCCTCCAACCACCTCCTGGCTGCTGCATTCACAACCCAAGCTTCACACCCATATAAAAGTGTTGGTACTATACTTTCATACACTCCCTTCTTTGCCTCCATAGATAAAGTTTTTTGTCTCCACATATACCTCAACGCACAACTCGCCTTTTTTCCCCTCATCAATTCTACGATTAACCTCATCCTTCATAAATCCATCCGCCGATACGTCAACTCCCAAGTATCTGAAAACATTCACTTCTTCCATACTCCTCCTCCCCAATTTGATATCCAATTTTTCTTTATCTAAATCATTTGATACCCTCATCACCTTACTCTTTTCTATGTTCACTTTCAACTTTCTACCTTTACACACATTCCCAAACTCATCCACTAACCTTTGCAATTTTTCTTTAGAATCTCCCATAAGCACAGCATCATCAGCAAAAAGCAACTGTGTCACTTCCCATTTTGTATTTAATTCCCCATAATTTAATCCCACCCCTCTCCTGAACACCCTAGCATTTACTTCTTTTACAACCCCATCTATAAATATATTAAACAACCATGGTGACATTACACATTCCTGTCTAATACCTACTTTTACTGGGAAGTAGTCTCCCTCTCTTCTACTCACCCTAACCTGAGCCTCACTATCCTCATAAAAGCTCTTTACAGCATTTAGTAACTTACCACTATTCCATATACTTGCAACATCTGCCACATTCCTCCCCTATCCACTATCATATGCCTTTTCTAAATCCATAAATGCAATAAAAACTTCCCTACCTTTATCTAAATACTGTCCACATATATGTTTCAATGTAAATATTTCTTATTTATAGTGTAAATATTTCTTATTATAAATTATGTACATTGTGTGAATAGTGTTGGTGGCTTCTGCTGCCGCCTACTAAAATTTCCTGGCCCCAATGGCCTTAAAACCCATCCCCACCACCACATTTACCCCTCACATTTAATGAAATTTTTTTTCATTTTTGGGAGTTATATATATATTTTGTTTTTATGTTTTTTAATTTAAGTTTATTAGTCTTTTTATGAATTGTTTTAAAAATGAAAGTTTAAAATGGGGGCCAGAAGTTTGTGGTTATAGGAGGGGGGGGGGCAGGAGGAAAGAGGATGATTGGTGGAATGATGAAGAAAAGGGGTGTGATAAAAGAAAAAAAGGGGAAGCTTATGAGAGGTTTTTACAAAGCAGAAGTTTTTAAAAGAAGAGCGAGTATAGGGAGTAAAAAAAAGGTAAAGAAGTGGGAGAGGTGAAAAAGGAAGCAGATGATAGATGGGAAAAGGCACGTAAAAAATTTTTAATGAAAATAAAAAAAAAATTTTGGAGTGATTTAAAAACAAGTTAAGAAAGCCTAGGGAAAATATGGATTTGTCTTTTAAAAAAACAGAGTAGGGGAGTTAGAAAAGGATGGGGAAAAAGGAGGTTTTGGGGGAAGATGGCGAGAATATTTTGAGGAATTTTAAAAAGTTAAGGAAGAAACAGAGGCAGTAATTTCAGGGCACTGGTCGGGGGAGGTATTTAACCATTTTTTTGGAAAGTGAAAAAGAGCAGAATTTTAAGTGTGGGGGGGGAAAGGGTGAGGCTTTTACTTAAAATAAAAGGGGGGTAAAAAAGCACGGGAAAACTGATGGATCATGACAAAATTTTAAAAGCAGGGGGGGGGGATATAGTGTTGGATGGTTGGTACTTTTTTTTAAAAAAGTATAAAAAAGGGGGGGGAAGGTCCCAAAGGGATTGGCAGAGAGCATGTATAGTCCCTTTATAAAAAGGGAAAAAGGGGAAAAAAAGAACTGTAAAAATTATAGAGGAAAAAGGGCTTACTGAGAAACCCAGGAAAAGTGTACGGTGGGGTTTATAATTGAAAAAAATTTAGGGGGTAAGACAAAAATTGGATTGGGGGGATGAGCAAGGGGGTTTTTGGGAGGGGGTAGGGTTTGTGTAATCAGGTTTTTACATTGAAGCATAAAAGGGAACGTTTTTAAAAATAAAGATGGGGAAATTTTTTATTGCATTTAATATTTAAAAAAGGATATGATGAGTGGATAAGGAGAAATGGGCAGATGTTTGCAAGAATAGGAAATAGGTGGTAAGTTAAAAAATTTCGTAAAGATTTTTTATGAGGATAGTAAAGGTAGGTTGGGGTGTGTAAAAGAGAGGGAGATTTATTTCCCGGTTAAAAAAGTAGGTTTTTAGAGGGGGATGTGTAAGGGTTCACCTGGTTTTTTAAATATATTTTAGATGGGGTTGAAAAGGAAAAAATCTAGGGTGTTGGGAGGGGGGTTGGGATTAAATTAGGGGGAATAAAAATTAAAAAGGGGAATTGACAAAAAATTTATTTTTTTCCTGATGATACTGTGCTTAGGGGAAATTCAAAAAAAAAAAATTAAAAAGGTTAGTGGTTTTTTTTGGGGGAAAATGTGTTTTTAAAGGGTTTAAAAAGGGAAAAGTGAACATAAAAAAGAGAAAGGGTGTAGGGTTAAAAAATGATTTAGATAAAAAAAAAATTGGATATAAAATTGGGGGAGGAGGGGGGGTATGGAAGAAAAAATGTTTTCAGATACTTGGGAGTTGTTTTGCGCAGAAAGGGTTTAAGAAGGATGAGGTTAATTAAGAATTGATGGAAGGGGGAAAAAAGGGGGAGTGGTGCGTTGAGGTATATGTGGATTTAAAAAAAGTTATCTATGGGGGGCAAAGAAAAGGGGAAAGAAAGAAAGTATAGTATTTCCAAAAACTCCCTTTTATGGGGTTGAAGCCCTTGGGGGTAAATGCAGCAGCGAGGAGACGGTTGGAGGCCGGAGATGTCCTGTTTTTAAGGGCCAAAGTGTGGTGAAATATTATGCAGAAAATTCGGAGGTGGAAAATTAAGAGAAGGTGTGGAGTTAAAAAAAAGTATTAGTCCCGAGGGAGAAGAGGGGTTTTG